GGAATGTAATGGAAAAGGAGGTATAAGGGCAAAGTTCTAACTGTTCCTTTATAAGCATTTACAGTCCGTTCGTTCGCGAAGCTTTTCTGTGAAGAGCGACCAAGAAAAAATATCATTTTAATTTATATTAAAAAGAAAACACAAAAGAAATAATATCGTTAAAGGGCGAAGTGGCAATTTTCCTTTTACTGCATATCCGGCGATCGGAGAATCCCGTGGCGACAAGTTGGACAAACGGAGAGTCCGCTCGGATCGTCTCCAGCAACGCTCGCCAGTTCGATGACGCGCTGGATTTCGGTAGAGACCAGTGCTGGGACATGGCGCAGCTGCTTCGCCATGTTCACCTGGCAGTCCTGCAGAAGCCGCATCTCCTCGGTCAGCTCCTGGAGGTACCTGAAAATTCCGTATTAGTCACGCAGGAGGGCTGTAAAACTGAGAGCAGACCTGTAATGTACCTTGTCGGGCTGCCGCTGCAACCAAGTGCGATATCCGGAAGGTGTTCAGTTGTGACTCCATTTGTAAGCTGTTGTCCTTCTGGCGGAAGACTGGTGTCGTCCGATATGGCCCCGGTGGGTTGCTGTGCCACGAAAAGCTCGTACGCACCAACGACAGTATCCTGAAGAGGGAATTGACTTCGGACGGTTCCCGAGAGATACGGAAGCGCAACATGGCTGGGCGCATTTTCGACAGGATACCCGAACTCCGTGTCTTCATCAGAATGCAAAGAAGGTAAGTCATAGAACTGGCCTCCCGTATCTTTCAGAGGTCGCAAAAGCGGCAGAATCCCGTTGTACCTATTTGCCGCTCGATATTCCAGAGGAAAGCATCCGTGCGATCCATCACCAACCGGATATCCCCCCAGCTGCACATCCTCACCCGGAGGATACACACCGAAAAGATCCTTATCAGATTTTTGTTCATTTATGAGTGCTTGCTGCAAGCGGAAATCGCCGTGTGCTTCTCCGACCGCCGAATAATCCAGGAAGTCGCCCAGCTGCTCGTTGACGACGGGAATCTCGAC